ACAGCTTGCACTGCACTCTGTCTGCTTCCTATAAGGCTTATGCACAGCCAGCACTGTGCTCTTTCTGCTCCCTAAACACTCACTTACAGCTTGCACTGCACTCTGTCTGCTTCCTATAAGGCTCATGCGCAGCCAGCACTGTGCTCTTTCTGCTCCCTAAACACTCACTCACAGCTCGCACTGCACTCTGTCTGCTTCCTATAAGGCTCATGCGCAGCCAGCACTGTGCTCTTTCTGCTCCCTAAACACCCTTGTACAGCTCACATTGCATTCTTTGCTCTGTAAAACTCATGCGCAGCTCACACTGTGTTCTGCCTGTTCCCTAAACGCTCACGCACAGCTCACACTGTGCTCTGCCTGTTCCCTAAACGCTCACGCACAGCTCACACTATGCTCTGCCTGTTCCCTAAACGCTCAGGCTCAGCTCACACTGCGCTGTCTGCTCCTTAAATGCTCACGAGTATCTTGCACTGCACTCTGTCTACTCCCTAAATGCTCATACACAGCTTACACTGCACCCTTACTCCCTAAATGCTCATATGCAGCTCACACTGCACCCTGTCTACTCCCTAAATGCTCATACGCAGCTCACACTGTGCTCTGCCTGTTCCCTAAATGCTCACGCACAGCTTGCACTGTGCTGTCTGCTCCCTATACACTCGTGTTCAGTTCGCACTGCACTATCTGCTCAGTAAACGCACAGCTCACCCTGCTCTGTACGCACTGTCTACTCCCCGCGTTAATTGCGGCGTGCCCAATTAGAGCAGCCGTGTGACTTGGATCTCACGTGTTTCCAGCGCGATACCGAGGCCCCCGGTTTGCCAGCACGCCACCTCCGCATAAAGGCTTTGGGTGAAGCGTGTTGCCCGCAGCCTGGGGGGTCGGCACCCCGACTACATGCTGTCACTCATTGCCGCTCTCTGGCAAATTTAGTGGGTTACAGGTTTGTCCATATAAGAAAGATGCCAGAAAGGTGCATGCCAGTGTTCATGGGGGTGGGGGTCATGCTTGGCTTCTGTAGCAAATCGATGCGACTCGGGGAGCCGTCTGTCTCAAAATAAAATGGGCTTTCCTGAATTTCTCAGTCTTTGTCTTGGATTCTGGGGGCAGGGGTTGTTCTTGGTGTTGGGCTGCGTCCCCCGGGGGAGCAGGTAGCGGCGTTTCTCACTTTGGGGGGGGATGCACTTTGTGTCAGCCTCCATTGTTTTTTAAAAATGAGATAAATTTCTTAAAGATGAATCCGTCCTCTGGGATGTCAGTTTACAGCAGGAAATAAACGGGTGCTGGTCGGTGGGTCAGTGATGATAATCTCAGTCATCAGTGCTTCTTGGTTGGTGGTTACATCGGGAAATGAGTGTCATGGAGTGTGAGATGTGGAGTGATGTCGTCAGGGATCTGCTGAGGGTCGTACGCATGCTTTGTGGGGGGGGGGGGCATGCCCCTGTTACTGGTCACCAATCACCAATCCTGGGAAACACCCCAGGCTCTAGATTCCCGGAGGTCTGATGATCCATGTAATGTTCACCTGGCATGGGGGGTGCGGGGGGGAGAATCCGCAAAAGGGTGTCATGTTCAGGCTCCCGGCAAACACATGCAGAGTCCTAAGGTGAGGAAACGGAGGAAGCAGATTATCAAAGGTGCTTTGATCCGTCGGGGGCTGCATCCCACCTCACGCCCCCCCAGTTACTCAGGCCTCAATCATTAACACACATTTTAATCATTGTCCCTCTCTCCACAATATTGTGAAAGGTCATCCTTTCGGTATAAAGCTGACCCCCATTGTTCTGGGTCGTCGGTTTGGCCAAGCAGAGCATTTTCCAGAAAATGGACCATCGTGTTAATGTCGTTCTCTGAATCACCACGGACTTACAGCTGCAGAGACTGAAAGATCATGAGATGACGGACATGCCGGCTCCTGTGAGCCCAAAGTGGAGAGTCACCCTGAATATCGACTGTTAGATGCCTGGAGTGTTAAAGCTGGTCACTCAGACCTTCGCCTGGAGCTCGATATGTACAGTGACTCTGGTA